TAAAGACACATAAGCTTGGTCAATGGTCAGAGAGATTTGTTAAATTGTGTTTTATTGAGTTTAAGGGTCCAGATGACAAAGGTGTAAGTAAAAGGGTTCAAAATACAAACTGATACAAGTATAAAGGTCCACTAGACCATTTCGCCTATTCTATTTATAGATAGTCAAAATTTCTTCTCCAAAAAAAATAATAGATATAAAAGAGTTATTTTTCATCTAAAAAAGTTTATTTTGAATTTAAATAGAATTATGATAAATCTAAACAAAATAGAAAATTTAGCACAAATATAACAAAAAGAGGAAAGTAGAATGAAATTTAAAGGAGAGAGTTGAGGCGAGAATGCAAGTGATAGAAAGAGTCTTCATATTGCAAAAAAAATAAATAAAAAAGATTACGCGACTCTCTCTCTATGTTATTAACACTAATTCTTTAAATAATTAAATATGGGTGATTTGATGTGGCCCCACGTTGGTATCGTATAAGTAAGTTGTAAATTAATTTGAGACTCTACAACACGAAAAGAAAGTGAGTGAATAGTACTCTCTCTGACCACTTTTATTGGTTAGATTTCGTTTTTCGAAAATCAATTTAACTAATTTTTAAAATTAAATTAAATACATTAATTTGATATTAAAAAAATTAAGATATTACAAAACTATACTAAAAATACTATAAAATGCAATATTTTGCATATCAATATGATGAAAATATATATAGTAAAATGATAGTGAAAGTTTTTATAGTTTAATTTTAAAAATGAAAACTCTAACAATTAAAAGTGGATGAAGATAGTAATTAATAATTGTAATAATTAAAAGTGGACGAGATAATAATTAGTAATTGTAATAATTATTTGAAAAGGTTGGTCGAGTCAGAAGAGTATGCCAGTTCAGCAAAAAGTTCACAAAGATATTTTCACATTCCAACCCTAAAAAAAGGAGATTTTGGTAGTCTTGTCTGTCAATTTCAAAGATAATAAAACACATTCATTTCTAGAAATATCTTTGAATTACAAACATCAAGATTTGCCAGTGCTTTGAATTGTGATAATGAGCCCCGGGGAAAGCCGTCCCTGTGATTTCTGCAATCAGCAGATTGCCGTCCTTTACTGCCGAGCTGATACGGCTAAGCTCTGTCTTTTTTGTGACCAACTTGTTCATTCAGCTAATGCTCTTTCTAAGAAGCATCTTCGTTCTCAGATCTGTGATAATTGTGGCTCTGAACCTGTATCTATTCGTTGTGACACCGACAAACTTGTACTCTGTCAAGAATGTGATTGGGATGCTCATGGAAGTTGTGCAGTTTCTGGTGCACACGATCGGAGTCCTGTTGAAGGGTTCTCTGGATGCCCTTCTGCTTCTGACCTTGCTTCAGCTTGGGGTTTGGATATTGATTCAAAGAAACTACATCAGCAGCATACTGTTTTAGAGTATCCTTCTTGGATGTCTAAGGAGGCTCCTCCTCCTCCTTCTGTTTTGTTGCAGGATTTAATGGTGCCTAGCGCTAATAGTTCTGCTATTTACTCCACCAAACAAACTCCAACTTGTGGCAAGCAGAAACAAGTCATATTCAAACAATTAATTGAGCTATTCAAGAGAGATTTGGCAGATGGGGTTGGAGCTGGAGCTGAAGATTTGGTTCCAAAGATACCTAATGCCACTAGTGATTGGCAGGGAAATGTTAATATGTTTGTCATGGATGGTGTCAATCAGAAGCTTGAGCAGCAACAGCCGCAAAATGTGCCATTTACCTCTTCGATTATGCGTCATAATCCAATAGACAGTGACCAAATGGTGGAACGGAACATTTTGTGGAGGGGAAATTCCTTTGATCAAAACACTCAGGTATTCTTCTAGGCATTTTCACGGTGTGCTATTCACTCATACCTAGGACATTTTGCATAGCCTGAAGAGGTGCAATGTGTCCAGTTATGTTGTCTCATTACGAATTGTTCGATACATTTTACTATTGTGTTTTAAATGTGAAAAGTGTTATACAGAATTGTAGAATAAAACTGCTTTCTTTGCATTGTCTGTCGAATTTTAATTTTTTTCAAGATTTCTTCATAATACTAATAGTGATATGATTGATAATAGAAAATTCACATGGATCTGCAAGTATGATGATGCAATTGAGTTGAGAAAAGAAGAGATGATATGCCTATTTCATCATTTTGTTTAGTGACTTTCGAGTACATTTGAGATGTGCACGAAACTTGTGATAGCTTGTTTTGTTTCCAGTGCACATCTAAAAAGTAGAGGTAACGTCCATCATATTGGAATGTTGGGGATAGGGGGTTGGAGGTTGGAAAGACAAGTTTCTTGTACTAACGGATGTGGTTATGTCAAATATGTACCAGCAGCACACCTAATTTCCTTTTCTGACTAGTTTTTCAGATCGTGAGTTGGTTGTGAATTGGTAATATTCTAAATCTACAAGTAAACAAAGATACCTAATACTATGGTGTTGAATTTTCTATTCTGTCTCAGTGTTAAGAAAATCTTCTATTTCCATTTTAGGAGAATATGATATTGAAAACTATCTTTGAGCTGTTAAAATCAATCATTCCACTTTAATCTTCTCTTGCAAAAAGTATTAGGATTTTAGAAACCTGCAACAAGATTAAAGAGTGACAATTCCTGTCGGAGAATTATGCTTTTGCTTTTGTGGACTAGAAAAACTTAGAAGGAAGAGATACACTTCATCTTGTACCATCTTTACTTACCTGAAAAGGTACAAGCTTCTTTTCCTCTGCTACATCTTTGATCCAGTTCTGGCAATTGTTCTGATTGTATACATTGCCTTGTTGTATTTGTTTCTTCAGATATGGGATTTTAATCTAGGGCAGTTGAGGAGCCATGAACAGTCTAGCTCATTGGAAGCAGACTACAGTGAGAGCGACATGGCGTACATGATGAAAAGCTATGGTGAACTCATAAAAGGAACATCATTAGCAACTTCAAAAGGATTAGGACTCTCAGGCATTAACTGCTCCCTTGCCCATGATGATATGACAGCCTTCAGTGTAAGCTCTAGCCATACATTAATTTTGATTTTCTTTTTCGTTTAGTTGATCTCAATATGTATTGTTTTAATCCCATGAATCAATGATTGTGGCATTAATTCTCACACTTGTACTTGTAAGTGACAGATCAGAGACTTCTTTTACCAACTTGCATTACTTTGTTCAGTTTCGGAGGAATATTGAGGTTTCCTTTGTGTGTTGACGAATCAGATATATATTAGTTTCACATATTGTAAATTCCAGCAAAGGGATAGAGCACAAGTAATTCTGCTGTGCGTTTAACCTGAATATGACCATACTGGTTGTAATGAACTCTTAAATTTCTCTGGTCACCACCTTCATGAATCATGACAATTGGAGGTTCCATCAAGTGAACTGCCAAGAAGCTGATGCATGCTTTAAACTGTATGATACAATGATGTCTTCCTCCTGAACCTGAGAAATAACTTGCTCATCGCCTTGCAGAATAATTCGAATAACCGAGCGGCAAGCCAGGGGCCAGCGACATCTGAGAGCAACAATTTACCAAGAATAAAAACTTCATCTGACTCAGGTTATGTTAAGCCGAAATGCTGTGGTGTATCTACAGATCTGAACTTTATGGACCAAAGCATTGTTGTGGGAGGTGACAACACCGGTGAAGAAACACTCAAGGCTGATATGGAGCTTCTGGCAAAGAACAGGGGAAATGCAATGCAACGTTATAAGGAGAAAAAGAAAATACGAAGGTAGGTTATCTCTTTTAGTTTTCCTTTCAGCATAGTTTTCCATAGTCGCCTCTGAGTTTGCCCCTACATCTTGGATTTGTTGCATCTCTGAGTCTGTGGGTTGTGATGTACAGATATGATAAGCACATTCGATATGAATCGAGGAAGGCAAGAGCTGATACTAGAAAGCGAGTTAAGGGTCGATTTGTGAAGGCTAATGAATCTCCAGATGGCTGAATACCTGTTGAATGACTGAGGATAAGGATCTTTTTGTCTCTTTGTGTATATATTTCTTAGTCTACCTGATATTTGTAACCTTAGGTTTGCTGTGATGCTATCTGTGGCACCAATTGTTAGTTAATATTCTAGTCACACTTTTTGCTTCTGGTTATATATTAAGTGCTCGCACATACAACCTTGATCATCTATCAGGCTAGATCCCTCACCGGGGAGCCAGCTTTTTGAGATAAGTCTTGGAAGTGGATAGTGTAGGTACAATCAATTCACTCTCCCTCTGGCAATACATGTCGCTTGATGTCTTTTTTAGTTACATACATTCATTCTATCGAGATCCGAGTGATCAAATTCTTGCTGAGTGTAGCTTCTAATAAACACAATTAAAATCCCTTCAACACCAGTTTAGTTCCCCTCTTCATTTCCTTTGTTTCCTTTCCTCCAACATTTCTGGAAAGCTGATGTTAAGTAGTTATGTTATATACTGAGAAGTTGACACTGTTGTAACCAATTCTTTTCTTGTACGATATTGTATTATGTTTGGTGTCAAGACTGGAGTTATCTTGCATTTATGTTACTCAAATTCTATCTTTGTCTTTAAAGCAAGACTCAAATTGGTCATTGTGAAAGACCAATTACCCGGAAAGGAATAGAGAAAACGGTGAGGAAATATAATGGAAGTAGACTTTTTTTTTATCAAAGCTGGGAAATTCCTTGGATCTTGTCTTCAAACCAAACGACCCAAAGAGTTCCTGTATGTCAACTGGATGTGATCTGTGATTAATCATGAGAAATGGTGCAAGTCGATTAAAGAAAATTTTGTTATGTGATGGACGGTTCTCATTTAATGATGTAGAATGGGTATGATGAACTCGTGCATCATTATTATAACTTTATCCTGAGGGGTCTTGTGAAGGCTAAGCTGTTTTATCATGTGAATGCTTTTAAGGCTTAGAAAACAACCTAACACCGCTCCCTATTTACTTCAGTCACGCCTTGCATTGCATGTCTTTCTTTATGAACTAGACTACTTGTGTTTATGTTCTCATTCATTCATTTCAAAGTCCCTTAGCTTGGTGAATCATGAAGGACTTATCTTTCTTTCAGTTGAAAAATGTTATGGGAGCTAAGATGAGGAAAGGCTTTAAAAGCTTCTGTAATAACGATACCTCTACTTCCACACTCAATTATCAAACCGCAGCCTCTGCTCGTCCTGCACTTTCATCTCCTAATTACACCATGGATACAAGTGATGTGATCCTAAACGAAAGGGGAGGAAGCCAGACAACATTGGAGGAGATGTTGCTCCAATTAGACATGGAGGAGAAAATGGCAAAGCTGAACCAATATGGGCCGCATGTCCGTCATAGAATGTCATGTGTTAATAGTTCTGACATTCTACGAACAGCAAGGAACGCGTTAAATCAGTATCCCCGATTTTCTCTTGATGGCAAAGATGCCATGTACCGGTCTTCTTTCCGTGACATGTCTCCTTTACTAAACACTGCCAGAAACTGCAACCGCAAAATGGACATGAAAAGTAGTCAAACTCAAAACATGCCCCCCACAATAGCAGGAGAGAGAGTGATTTGGTGTAAACCAGGAGTAGTAGCAAAGCTGATGGGACTTGAGGCCATGCCAATTTCAATGCACAGAAAGCATAAAAAGGATACAATCATGAGCGCAGTTATCAAAAGGCAAAGCCTGAGGAAAAGAGCAGAAAGGTACGAGATGGAGAAAAAGAGATCATCAAAAGGAACGACGGGCTGTGGTGGCTGCAACTCTAGAGAGATGAATCAGAACTCTTGCTCAAGAAATGGCAATTGTGCTATGAAGCCCGTGGCGATGGACCTCCAAGAAGTAGGCTGGCCAATGCGGGGCGGGGTTTTGTACAGAAATAATGATGCCATGTAAGATAAAAATGTCACAAATATATACAAAGATCAGGAGTAGCCTTTTTGTGTGCCAAATTGATTAATTGTCTCTTTATATTTTTCTAAATAATTAGATACATGTATATGTGTATAAACTGTAAGTAATAATGTGTGTTTTGAACTCACATCGTGGTCTAAAACTAAGTTGCACGAACTCTTCACTTTCAATGTTGCACACGTGTCGAATTCTTCCAAAATACACTACTTTTTGGTCAATTCAACACGCAACCCTTGACATTTTTGAAAAATCCGAGCAATATAGGTCTAAAAAACACTGCAGCAGCAAAAACAAGACAGAAATTTTGTACACTTAACACTACAATTAGACAAATGAGGGACCTAGGCGGTGCTGGACTCTCTTGTCCCTCAGCTGGCAAATTCCCCATTATTAATTGTAAGATGAAAATTTTAACTATTTCTTTTTAATTTCTAATAACAAAAAATGGTAGAGAATTGTGTAATAATTCAATCAGTGGAGAAATGCCAAGTGCATTAGGGAAATTGATAAGATTGGCTAACAATCAATTGAGCGGCTCGATCCAACCAATTTTTGGCAATTTAAAATCCTTGCAATGGAGGTAATCAATCAACTTTTTTGATTTACAATATATCTCTGTTCAACATTTCTCGTCTTTATATATATGCTAGTTTCTGGGCGTGCACTTTGCGCGTATATCCCATATCATTGAGTATATAAGTTTAAAAATTCATATGAATATTTTTATGTTCTATATTTGAGTTATGAAAATAATTAATGTTGATCCTATTCAGATAGTTCAATGAAGAAAAAGTTCTTGTCCCATGAAAACCCTTGAATACCTTTTTGTAATTTTGGTTTTTGCCTCGATGCCTTATTTGAATTTCTACCTTTGGCTCTAATTACTAAAATAATTTGATCGTCTTCTTAATATCTTTTGGTACAAATTAAAAAAATAGTTTGCATATAAGTTGTAAATAAACTTTAACAAAAACGAACAACCTTTATTTACACAAAAACGAACAACCTTTATTTACTAAAGTTAATTGTTATTTGGCAATCAAGATAGTAACAAAAAAGTTTATAACTGATAGAAATTCACAAAAACATCATTTAACTTTGCTAATAATTACATTATAATTTTACTTACAAATTTGATAAAAATAAATGTCAAAAAATGTTAAGAGAGAAAAATCTTAATTCATAGTTTAAATAAATTCGAATATATATGACCATGATTGAAATATTATCAATACACATGGTGACGCTCATTAACACAATAATAATATTATTTTGCATTGACACACACACATATATATTATATATATATATATAATATATATATATTATAGTAAGAAATAGATGAAAAATTTATACAAAGTAACAGAGAAAAATGAACATACGCCATATATCAACTACTTTACTCTATTGTTTATTCAAACATATTTCTATTTTTATAAGTCCATTAAACTATATTTGTTTCATACAAATTTAAAAATAATTTGCATATATAAGCTAAAAAAAACTTAAACAACAAAAAAAAAAACTCATAACGACTCAAAAAAAATCATTTTAATTTTGCTAATAATTACAGTATAATTTACTTACAAATTTGATAGAAATAAATGTCAAAAAATGTTAGAGAGAAAAATCTTAATTTATAGTTACAAATATTGTACAAAACATCAACATTATTGCACAATTCTCATATGCTTACCCCTCCCACAGTCAGGTTATCTACATTGGATTCTACCTCCTCCCACTTAGTAGCTTTTGAGATCGCAACAGTTTCTTTTCAATTCCTCTAGCTAAATAATATCTCCTTATTACAAGTGCCATTTTCTCAATTAAATATGAGTGTATGTTTATCATGGTTCTGATGTATCCATTTGAATTTCATACAATGGAGGATATAAGCCTATTAATTGTGATGTAACCCTTCAAAATTTCACACATAACTGATAATAGTCTTTTCACTTTTCATGCACCCCTTCAAATTTCCTAATTAAGTCATAAAGTCTTTTCAACTTTCAAATTAATTGGAAAAAAATGTAGTTCAATAATATTATTTAATTAAAAATTTAATTACATTTTAATTTGTTGTAAGGGCAAATTGGTCATCCAACTTTGAAGATGTGAGCTTCCCACTTTTAATAATACTAGTTTCTGGACACGTGCAACGCACGTGTGTCTCATGCAATATGTTATAAATTCGTTAGGACGATTAAAATTCAATGAAAATATGTGTGTAATGAGTACTAAAATGCAACAATCTCAAATAAATGTTATGATAATAATTTATAGAAAATTAAATTAAAGAAGACTAACAGAGAAATATAAAAAAAATTAACATAGAAGAAAAAATAACAAACGCATCCTTCTTAAGACTTTAATCATAACATTATATAAATGAAAAAAGAAATACAAAATCGGTACATAATTTTCCAAATTTTTGTCGACACCTTCTCTCATATCCATTCAAAATTCAAAAGTCTTCTCCATCGAGTCAAATTAAAGCATGAATCAAATAGAAAAATCATTTTATTTTTGTAAAGTTATATAATCAGGCAAAGGTAGATATATCATATACTTTAGATGTTGATGACTTCACTACTTTAACTATAAAATGAAAAGGATAATTTTGGAGGTGAGTTTCATGAAACAAAAAAAAAGAATTTATATAGATAAAAATAGAGGAATACCAAAAGACATCTTAAAATTTTATATTAAATACTATTTGATGGTTTCAAAGGGCCAAAATAGATAAAAGAGAACAACTTTAAGAATATTAAATATATGCAATGAACCTCCATTAAAATCTGGAAAAGTAAATAATCCTCCTTTGAACGCATGAACTCTCCATTTACTCAATGTAATAATTGATGATCACTAATATTCAAACATGTAATTAACTAAATATTTACAATATTTTAATCTAGTGTAGGGGCAAAATGGTATTTCAACTTTCAACTTTTTTTGTTCCCACTTTTAGTAATATATACTAGTTTTTTGTCACATGCGTTGCACGTGATTACCAATTCCAAAAATATATGTTATAGTAAATAGTATTGCTTATTTAAGCGAAAATTTGAATAATAAGCTTAACAATTTTTTATTTTTGATGAAGTAGCTTAACAAAAAATAATATTGCAGATTCTATAGTGAATGTTCAACGTGGATCGTCATATATATTTCTTATTCACACAAATCTATGAAGATGGTCAATGAAAAATTTTATTAGTTAAATGCAATAATGTATATATTTATTTCAATTTGATGAGGTTTATCATGTAATTATTCTTATCTCACTAATATTACCTTATAGACAATATTTGCTTTGTATTTTTCTTGTCATCTAACCAGATGTGCTTTGCATGTGTATTCCACGTTAAATTTTTTAGATGTCATATGAACATGTGAAGAGAACAACTACATTTTATATATTCACATATTTTCACATTGGTTGTGTGTTTTTTTTTAAAAACATTTCAAAATAATATATTTTGAAGTTAGAAGATCTTGTTAACTTTATAATACATTTGTGACATTTATAACACTTTAATTTAAATAGAACTACCTACCCAAATATAAAATATATTTGCATTAATGAAAATATTTATCTCATAAAATTAACTATTAAATAAATAATAAAAATTAAAATAATACAAACTTCAACTGGCGTTATTATAAGTCATATGAACTTTTCTTCGTCTAAAATACTGAAGTATTAAGAAATAGTAAATAAGTAAAACAAAAGGGCAATGTTTATATAGTAATTACTATTTTGAAGCAAACTTAATGAGAGTCTAAATCACATAAGTAGTATTGATAAATAAAGTCATTCTTTTGTCTTGAGCATCAAAAATAAATTGTGCCAATTCTCTAAATTTTGGAAAAGATATTCAGAAGCATACATCTACATGAGAAGAAGAATTGTTAACAAAAAAACAAATGAATTTAGACTACATCATGTTAACTTCATATATTGGAACATTACATACTAATGTATATATTAAGCAAAAATATAATTATTATATCATCAAACTTATTTTTGTCAAGTACTTAAGGTTATGGAATGTACCCTCTTAGGATAGAACGACCTACTCCATCAGAATAGTGGTACCTCATATCAGTGGCAGATCCAGGATTTAAAGTCCGTGGGTGCCAAATAGACTTATCGATTAAATTAATTTTATATTTGATTAAATTATTTGTCTTTTCGATATATATCATAAATCAATCAATAAAATGTAAATAATAAGATATTACACTTTTATTGAGTATTTGATCAAATAAAAGAAAAGTCAAAGGAGTAATAATGTAATTAATTTAATTTAAGTCAATAACAATTATAAAAATATAAAAATAAAAATTGTGCCAGTTCTTGGAGCCTTTTTTTTTTCTTAAAAAACGTCTGCATCAAATTTCTCAAAAAAATAGGTACAAATGGGATTCAAACCCGCAACATCTGCCTTCTAAAGTTGCCCTCCTACCATGGCACCACAAGACAATTTTGTTCTGTAGGTGGCACACTTTATATTTATATAAATATTATATATATATACCTATGTATATATAGAGTTTCCGTCGAAGTTCGGGGGTGGCGTGGCACCCCCAAACCTCTGCATAGATCCGCCACTGCCTCATATTCCGCTAAATTTCGATGTCACTCAATGACAATAAATCATACAAAAAAAAAAATTAAAATGCAAGAAGAAGAAGAGTAGAAGATTAAAAAAATTGTGGTTGAAAAATGAGAGGAAGTCCCTCTATTTATAGTGAAGAAAGGGTAGCTGTATGAACACATATTTTTTGTGTCTTATCTGAAAAGTCATGACCTTTTCGAGAAGTCACAACTTATTGAAAATGTCACAACTCTTTGGAAAAGTCACAACTTATTGAAAAAGTCACAACTCATCGAAAAATCACAACCCTTCGAAAAAAGTCACAACTTATCGAAAAAGTCACAACTCATCGAAAAAGTTACAATCTAAGTTAGGGATATTATAGTAATTTAACATTCAAATTAGGAGTTCATGCTTTTAAAGTAATATAGATA